TTTCATTTTGCTTCCATTTCACTGTTATGTTCTGCTTAGTGTTGGTTTATCAGATGAATTGAGCCAAAAAACAATAAAGAGTTTGTGGTTGTGGAGAGATCAAATGTCAAAAAATTCGACCAGTACTTTATTTAAAGTACCTTTACAGGGTACTGTATGAGTCCAAGCCATATGAGTTTCCAGTCAAACTGAATGGGCAGCAAAAGTTGGCAAAATGACGGAACATTGACAAGGCAATCAGTCACAAGTGAGCAGCTTCTATGTTTCAAATTACGCCTTATAGGTTATATTGAAGAAAAAAAAGTCATTTTATTTCAGCTTCTGAGTTCTTTCTTTTTTCTTTTTTAGAAAACAATAATGATGTGATTCAAGCTGAAGTTAAGCAGTATGATATTACTGAGACCTTCCTTAAGCTGAAACCACTATTTACTGCATTCACAATACGCAGTCTGCTTACTACAGCACAGAGTTGCAATTTAGCCTTGTGTCCTCCTCTGTAAGTATCTTATTTTATGTTGCACCTCACATAAAAAGGGGCTTGTTTTTCACCTGGAATTACTGTTACACCCAGGCTGCACGCTTGGCAGGGCTTGCTGATTTTAGGGCAAATAGGGTCAGTGGGAAACCACCATCTTCTTACAATTGGCCTTCCTCATCCCCATTCAACAGAAGGATGTGACACAGAGGCTGTTCCTTGCACTGGGTGTTGCACGGTGTACATGGAGCAGTGGCCTAGTTTGCAACCGGATCTAGGCATCACTCTTAATCCCCTAGATATATGACATAAGCACACACAAGCAGATAGCCTAGTTGAGAACTAAAAAAGAGGAGGTGGTACAAAGGTAGTAGAAATAAACGAGGAAATAAAGAAAAATAAGCAAAGCTGGGAACAGAGCTCTGCTTTCTTTTGTTATGGCATTATTTGTATCAGTATGCACCTAACTAGACCTTAAATCACACAGTCATTATTGTGCAAAATGTATTTCTGCAGCATGTGTTGTCCTTTCTTAAACTGCAGCTTCTGTTCTTGCATAACTTGTAATTAGAGTTAACCAATCAATCAGCCAGAGATTGGAATCGACCAATTTCCCCCCAACTGGCTATAATCATTGAGCAGCAGCTCAAATACAGAAAGAAAAAAAAAGAACCTCTTTTATACGGATTACTACAGCGAATGCTCCTGTTGTAGTGTTTCCTGCCGTGTCATTTTGGATAACATAATAAAAAAGGTGTTAAGAACTAAACCAGAACTAAGTATGAAGCAATGATGAGGATTTTGTTAAATCTTGAGTAATGTAACATCTTTGAATTATCTATGCTACTTCTGGTGAACTCTTCTTCCAAATAGTGCCTGTGCATCAGGATAAAGTGCTGAACACTAGTGATGTGCTGCAGAAAATGTCATAATATTTATTTAATCCTTGGCATAATTCAGATAACAAAACATCTGGGCATAAAATGTTTTTACATCACGGGTGCCCCCAGTTTGGGAATTTTTTATTCAACATTATAAGAAATGAAGTCAAGTCATCAGTGTCTCCCTCAGTTTTAAACATCCTATTAGCTGAGTTGAGTCTTAATGAAGAGTAAATAATTAAAGGTGCTGTACCTGATTCATGAGTAAGGAGACAGTTCAGTTTGAACGGTAAGCCCATCCCTAAACTTCTCTCCTTCAGACACTTTCCTCTGAATCCACATGCAGGTGATAAAGCACATATCTCGTAATAAAAGTGATGAAAGATACCCATCTAGGAGGACTACAGCCAGTTTCGAATACAGATTCAATCCGAGGCGGTTCCATAAAGCTCTCCACCTCTAGTAGGATAGACCAAGATTTAGAAAAGCTTTGTTCCTTCTTGGGTCATTCTTGTCGTTAAGTCTTTCTTCTCTTCCTCCATTTCGACCCTTTTAGGCTGTTTTGCTTTATATGAAGTGACAGCCAGTGAGATATCGCAACTTCCCCTTCATTGGCCGCAATGCTTCTCTGTTTAGAAGAGGTGCGCTTGGAGGAAACATTCTTAGAAGAGGTTTTTAGTGGCTGATTGGAAACTGGTAGAATTAACCCCAATGGCAGATAAAACTATCACCCTAAAGTTAGAAGACTACACCAAATATCCTAAATATGAGTCACTAATTTAACAAAATGACCTCTTCTGCCATACAATATACCACGTAAAAAGCATTTTTCCTAAAGAGATTAAAATTAAATCAGATATATTACATTGTAAATACAGAGTTACAGAGTACTGTTTCAAATGTGGTTATGCCTATTTTGTTGTAATGGAGCACACTGTTAATTTTCAGTTTTAAAGGTATTAATTATCAGTTTATGTTATTCAATTCTTATAATGTATTTTCAGTATTTAAAATATGGCGCGAGTTGGTAATTTATTAAATGACACTATTTACCCATTCAAGATGCAGGTAGGTTGGTTTTGTTAGGTGGTAAATAAGATGTGTTTGGTATATAGCTACAACATTTTAACAACAAACCAACAAAATTTTACCTTCATTTTTTATTTTTGGTTTTATGTGATTTCATCCTTAACAAAAAAAAAATAAAAAATTACACAGTCATAATAATAATAATCTGCAATTTGAATACCAAAGAAAACCATAAATTGGCATTGACAAGAAAAAGCCTGATTTAAATCACTTTACCTATAACATTTTGAATTTGTTAATTTCATTGAGCTTTATTGTTACCATGACGATGAGGATAACTAAGAACAATTTTATAATTGCAATTAACATTTCATAACATGCCATCTTAAGTAGAGAAACTAAGACATCAGCAGTCTGACAGCTTCTGTTCAATTCGCAATGTTTAAATCTCTGATTCCCCTGTCATGATATTAAAAGGGACGTTGAATGCTGCACACATGGAGAGATAAAAGGAAAAGAGAGCAGTTTTCCTCCCCTTTCTCCCTCTAAAGCCCTGCGTCTTTTCTATCTTAGTAGATGACATTAATAGGAAGAGAAAAAGGCAGAAAGTTAGTAAGAAATAAAACAGCGAGGTCAAGGGTGGGATTGAAGAAACCGTAGAGAAAAAAAAAGATGGAGTATGAATCCTTTCCACCTTTCTGGATCTGAGATGCCCTCCTAGACCTCAAAGAGGAAGTCTAGAAAACGTTATCGTTTGACAAATGACCAGGCTTTTGCCGCCTGACCCTGGCACTTCCACGTAGGACAGGAGGTTGAAAGCAAAACAAGAAAGGTCGGAAAGTATGCTTTCACTAGGGCTTCGTGAGGCTTTAAAACATTCCAGCACAGAAATTGCTGCCTGAAGCCTATACTTGTGTGTCAGTTTGGGTGCTTTTAGAGGGTGGTGATGATATGTGATCAGCATTGCACAACCGCAAGCTTGGAGCCACGCTGCACTTTCCTTTGGGCAAACACATCATCCTGTACATGCTAGATATTCAATCAGCTCATTTTACGCTTACTGAAGGAGCTATTATGAATTCAAATTTTCCAAAACGTATGCTCTAAAGGGCTTAAACTGTCTGCTTTCTCTTTGTAGAAACATTGTTTGATCCTTCATCCAGTCCTTTTGTCTGGCCCCCCCTTTCTCCTTAAATCTGTCAATAAAGATATAAATACTGAGACAAAATCATGCCAAAACCCATGACCAATGTGTTAATGCGCACGCAAACTTTCTCGAGAAAAGCTCTGGATAAGGACCAAATGGCACGGATGAGACGCAAACATGGTATTAACAGAATCACACAAGCAGTAGAAAATTATCTGATTTGCCATATGTGACGTGTCTGTCCATGCCAAGCAATACAGTGATGGACAAAAACAACTGGCCTCGAATCAGAGCTGCGGCCTAACTCACACTCAGACTGGCACAACAGCTCAGTGACATCTGAAGTGGAGAGCTCTGAAAAATATGGCATCAAAGTCTGAATATATGCAAAGAAATTAGGGTATTCGGAATAAAAGTTTTAATATGTAGGAAATTAAAAGGCTTAATATTCTATGCATGAAAGCCATTGGTGAGATGATGAAGTTGACAAAGGAAACCTGTATTATTATTATACTGGGATTTTCTTAATAGTTACAGGTAGCATTTCATTTTCCAACATTTTCTATTTACTCAATCAATCAAAGTTTATTTATATAGCACTTTACAACACCAGGAAGACCAAAGTACGTCAAGGAAACAAAAAAATAAGGTAAACATTTACTGGATGATTGATTTATTTAACTTTACTTTAGATGACTATTTTGTTACGTCAACTTGAGATTAACTGTAAAACTACCTAGTTATTAGAGATTTTGTTAACGTTACAATCTCTAATTTGTTTTAATAAACCATTTAATAGGAAGGCATAACCAATAAATTTGTATTCTCATTTTCACCTCACCTCCCACTGGTATTTTGTCTAACCCTTAGTATTAAGCAATGTTGTGTTCATGTGTCTGAGGGCAGTCACTATATTTAAAATAATTAATTATTAAGATTCAGACAATATAGCATTTTTTGTTTTGAACATTTACATGTTTAACATGGCTATTATTAGCCAAAGAACACTCTCTGTTTCTCTTCTCCGGAAAGTTCACATGTAAAGCATTTTTCTTTTGCTTTTAAAGTAGCCTTAATGAACCACATATATATCTAGACACGTTGAAGTATCTGTTTTCCTTTTAAATAGCATCAGAAATCTCTGAAATAAATTTTCTCTGATTAATTTTCAAATACCTTATTGATGTCAGCAATTACCCATCTGAGTGATATTTCACCAATAATAACTTCCAAGTAAAAAGTTGTCATTTATAACCTGTACCCTTTATGTATGCTCTATTTAATGATTACTTTAACCCAGTTTTTCATCATCTTCTCCACAAAAGTCATGTTTAAATTATTTAATCTCAAAGCAAGTTGGACTTATAATACTAACTGTAATTTGGAACTTGCCATATGGCTACTGTACTGTTGTGTTGTCATGCAGAGGAGTGAGAAAAGGAGGAAACATCCATGTAACAGCACTCACAGTCAGCATCAGCGAGCAAGAGGAAGCTGAGGAGAAACAGGCCTGGACTGACAGGGAGCATCGTGGGATAGGTCGACACATGCATGCTGCATTCACCGTGAGCTCAGAGCCTCACTGAACAACAGGATGATAGAAACAAGCCTTTATAACCTAAGGAGAAAAAAGAGAGAGAAACAAGAAAAACATTAGAGAAAATTCAAATGAAGAAACCATCAGTTATATATTTATGCATATGTGTGTCTTTAGCGATATACAAGGTGTAAATATAAGATATATATAATAACATCCACATCACACTCAGACTAACAGAGAGTGTGTGAGTCCCCTCCAGGCCTCACACTTCCTGTCTGCAGCTGTCTTTCCTCTCCCCGCTTCATTAGGACCATACACTCATCGCCGGAGGTGTATTTCATATGCGTGAGGGTGTTTGTGTGAAAGCTCAAATAAAGTAGCTGATGAATTCGAAGTCATGGCAAACATGTTATGGCGAAACATTATGTTGCCTCTAAAATAGAGTTTTCAACTAGGAATTAAGGAGTGGCTTCAATGTTCTTTCTTTTTTTTGGGGTGGGGATGCAGGCTGCACTTCCATGTCAGATTTTTCCCATATGTCCATCAGAACAGCGTGAGTTAGGTTTGTTGAAAGGACTGGATGACTCTAAGATGGAGGGGTGGAAGGACGGACCCAGAGATTGATGGATGATGGGGAGATTAAAGTGGGAAGAGAATGGCTACGGTTATCTGCTGAGTGTTGGATCAACATTTACATCACCGCCTTTATTCTTTCATCCTTTATTTGCTTCCTTCCTTGGACTGCCTTTTTTATGGAGCTATTCTTCCTCAGCTTCTTATACTCTCTTTTTCAAACAATTCCCACAGTTGCTTTTTATATTTGTACAATACTTCAGTCAACTTGATGTTGTATTAAAGTGCTTTAGAAATGAATGCGGAATGGTAAGGTGTAATGTTTCAATCTCATTTTTGACTTTCTCCATTTGTGTGCCCTTGCATATCTTTGTCGATTAAGCACTAAGAAAATAAAGTATATACTCCTTACAAATGTCTTCCCTTTAATTTACCCATTTGTTTTGGTCACTCCGAAATGTTTCAGATCATTAAACAAATTTGAATTTCAGACAAAGATAAAAAACAAAATGCAGTTTTCAAGTCATGATCTAATTTGCGGCCAAAAGAAAAAAGCAATCAGAACCAACATGGTCCCCCACCCTAGGAATAATAAATATGCCTGACCTAAATGATGGGAATAAATTCTCGATGTTCTGCCAGAGAGCAGATTTCATGGTTTGATAAATAACAGCAAGCCGTCCAGGTGCTGAAGTAGCAGGGCAGCCCCAGATCATTGCAATAAAACCAGCATGTTTAACATGATAATCTTTTTATGCTATCACAGTTTAATACCAGATGTGACAAGAAGCTTTTAGGGTGGAAAAAAAACGTATTTTGGAGAAGGGGTGGGTGGGGATGTGTTGGGAGTGAATACCTGCAGTGAGATGAATACTGATTTAAGAGGTCAACAAAGCACTCAGCTGGCATTGTGTATGATATAATGTGATCTCAATTGATAGGTGCCGACTCTGACGCAAGCTCTGAGCCTCATATAATAGAATTGTTGACGTCAACATTTATCTGTGGAACAGCAGAACTGACCAGCTGGGATCAAGATTAGCCTGGGGCAGTAATGTTTCATCTTTAAGGAGGGAATGAGGTCTGACCCAGACTTCACCCCTCACCTCCCTTATGACCTATCAATCTGATCCACAAGTCCAATTCACCTCTCTGTATACAATCATTGCAATTCTGTCAGTCTTCATCCGTTCTATATGCCCTTCATTCACTGCATGGTCAATGCTTCCTTCTCTTAGGAAAGCCACAAACGCTTTAGTCTGTGTGATGCAATGAGCGCAAAGGGGGTCCTTGTAGTTTTTTTACATCGACAACAGTGCAGGGATTTTAAACTCAATTTTGGTGAACTTAGCATTGATTTGTTGTAAGATCAAGCCTCACTATGTGGCGGCTTTTAGGTCCAAAGTCATAGTTAGAAGATTTTTTTTTTGCATTTGTGTCGACAATTTTTAAAAATATTTTACTAAAACAAAGGTAGATGGAGAGCCATTTCCTATTTAATCGATCAATGTCGATTCATTACAGACTTCTATACTGTAAGGACAATGCAGATGAAACTCAATAGATAACACCATAATATTCCTCAGAGAACACACAGATGTATGCATTACTTAAACACTCTTCCATTACGCAAACCTACCAAGGTACGCTGTTCTAGTACTTTATATAGAATAAATGTTCAACTCAATTCAATTCATTTTATTTACATGTGCCAATTCCCACCTGATACCACAATAACATCAAATAAGCAAAATTAGGCCCTAATTAAAAAAACTATTTTTTTTTTGTTGGGGAGTCACTCTTTTTTAAGGACATTCCTCCATTTTTGTCCATTTAGATAAGCATAAATTGCTTTAAATTCAGATTTTATTCTCTTACTCACTGATGCCATTTTAGCCCATCCTTTTTGTGCTGTTGGATCATGAATTCTGACCTGAACTGAGGCAAGCCAGCCCCGCAGGTCTACTTCATGTTGTCTGACAGTTGAGAATTTTATAATCCTTAATCTGTTGCACTCAACTTTTCCAAAGATTTTGTCAGTTCCATTTAGCTCCCAATTAAAAGAAAGGGTATACATTTTCATATTCTTTAAAAACTATAAATTATTAAAAACACATTTTATATAAGTTATGTTTGTGTTTTATATTAGCATTTTTTATGATCTGAAAATTTTAAGTATGTAGTAAAGGACAAAAAACGGGAAAAAATTGTGAAGGCAAAAGTTTATCCCATACTGAAAATACAAGTTTTTTTGTATGAAGTTTCTTAAATCATATCACCCAAATAGAACAGGCAGATTGCTGCCGCTGTCCAGAAAAGGGAACCATGGAAAATGCAGTTTGCTCTTTCCATACTCACATCTTATGAACGGCTGAACTGTGCAGCACCCATGTAATAGAGTACGCCTATATGTTTGCATGATCTCCAAAACTGAACAGATTCAGCATCCGCAGTCTTAATCCGCCCCGCTCCTGAACAAGCCATCTGATTAAAAAAAGAGGAAGGGGTAGGGGCCCCAGAGCTCTTAGTCTGCCTCCAATGAAGGCAGAAAACAAATCAACCCACACTGGATTTACGCTTGGTTTAGTCCAAAACAATTGCTTTGGGATAACTTAGATCTCTCCCTGCACAAATTAAGTACCCTGCACTGATTTACACTGCTGCAGTAGGGAGGGGAACTATGCCTTACTGTATAAATTGATTTTTACTTTCATCCAAAACAATTTGAATAATAAATGAGTAATTAAAAAAATGTATGACCTATGATCATATTGTTTCATAGTAATTTATAATACAAGAAATGCACCAATCAGGTGACCCATCATGATTTTCTTTGATCAAATCTGACCAAAACCAGGCAGGAATAATAAAACAAACTAGATATCTCATTCTGTTAGCAAATGCATGAAGACAGAAATGAGGCACTGATCTAATCACTAAACATCTTACCAAGCAGCACTCATACATTTCTGTTTAAGTAAATGAAAAAAAGGTGTGTAAGAGAAATTTGCTTTAACTTGCCTTTATCAGAGTGACTCAAGCCTACGTCTATCACCTTTTTTTCACTTTTTTTTCAAACAAATGAGCTTTCAGTGTTATAGTTCAGCAAGTGAAAAGAAAAATAAAAGGTCTTATTGCTGCATTTCCAGCATACTTTATTTATAAACATGTTAAACTAAACAAAAAATGTTATAAAGTTGCATAAAATAAAATACCTACATTTGATTTTTAATTGTTTCATATTCCCTCCATAATAAGTTTTCTACAGATAATTTGCTGCTTTGGTCTTGAACAAATGGTCAGTGAAACTGTCAGATTAGCATGCCCCATCAGACTAGCATACCCACTGTCAATATGCATGCGCAAGTTGTCAGATTTACATACGTCTGACACTTCAAGTGGAAAGAAGTCGACTAGGCTACTTTATTTATGTGTGATATGATAAACAAAAAGTTGCAGTTGAATGTAAAAACACAAGCCTACCAGAAAAGCATACTGGAAGTCAAGTAGGCCAGTTTATTTACACTCACCGGCCACTTTATTAGGTACCCATTGCTAGTAACGGGTTGGAACCCCTTTTGCCTTCAGAACTGCCTCAATTCTTCGTGGCATAGATTCAGCAAGGTGCTGGAAGCATTCCTCAGGGAGTTTGGTCCATATTGACATGATGGCATCACACAGTTGCAACAGATTTGTCGGCTGCACATCCATGATGCGAATCTCCCGTTCCACCACATCCCAAAGATGCTCTATTGGATTGAGATCTGGTGACTGTGGAGGCCATTTGAGTGCAGTGAACTCATTTTCATGTTCAAGAAACCAGTCTGAGATGATTCCAGCTTTATGCCATGGTGCATTATTCTGCTGAAAGTAGCCATCAGAAGTTGGGTGCATTGTGGTCATAAAGGGATGGACATGGTGCAACAATACTCAGGTAGGCTGTGGCGTTGCAACGATGCTCAACTGGTACCAAGGGGCCCAAAGAGTGCCAAGAAAATATTCCCCACACCATGACACCACCACCACCAGCCTGAAACATTGATACAAGGCAGGATGGATCCATGCTTTCATGTTGTAGACGCCAAATTCTGACCCTACCATCCGAATGTCGCAGCAGAAATCGAGACTCATCAGACCAGGCAACGTTTTTCCAATCTTCTATTGTCCAATTTCGATGAGCTTGTGCAAATTGTAGCCTCAGTTTCCTGTTCTTAGCTGAAAGGAGTGGCACCCGGTGTGGTCTTCTGCTGCTGTAGCCCATCTGCCTCAAAGTTCGACGTACTGTGCATTCAGAGATGCTCTTCTGCCCACCTTGGTTGTAACGGGTGGTTATTTGAATCACTGTTGCCCTTCTATCAGCTCGAACCAGTCTGGCCATTCTCCTCTGACCTCTGGCATCAACAAGGCATTTCCGCCCACAGAACTGCCGCTCACTGGATGTTTTTTCTTTTTCGGACCATTCTCTGTAAACCCTAGAGATGGTTGTGCGTGAAAATCCCAGTAGA